TTTTTTTTTTTTTTCTTTAGGAGCTGGCGGTCCCTGGCCGGTGGCTCAGCCCTTTGGGACCGCGGAAATTTATTTTTTTTTTCGTTGCCCGCCAGCAGGAGGGTGTGAGGTGGCCGTTAGGAGCACTGTTATTCTTGGTTTAAAACTCCTTTTCATCAAAATACTTCACAAAATACCCGCTGAATCTTCATTTATTCAAAAGTATAAAAGCTCTCGAATTCCTGTCTTTAAATGATTCACAGTAATTGGAATTTATTATGCAACTTCGACGTGTAAATATTTCAACTTCACACTTGTGATTCACTTTCCCCATCCATCTCCCTTCTCCCCCTTTGATAAAATAAATACTAATCTCTACTTTCTTCTCAAGGTCACTTCCTGGTACAACAGCGGCTGAGTGTGCGTCAAATCTGAAGAAGATTTATACAGTACAAACAGTACAGGTAAGGTGTACAGCTTTGCTGTAGGAGTTGCACACATTATTAATGTAATTTCACACCTGAAGTTAAATTTTTCCTCCTATGGATGAGTCACGCTCGCGGCTTTGCTTACTTGTGGTGTGAAACATCAATGTTGTTGGTTGTGTGTGGCATTGCTTGGTGGTTGTTTGAATTTCATTTGAGTTTGCAGGCCAGGAAAAGAGGAAGCATACTGGATTGATCTGGCAAGCCCCTTCTTAGACTTTCCCGAGTTTCCACTTATGCCTCTATCTGGGTTGTTACACTTGAGGCATTTTAAAGTTTTTTCCTGCTTTTTCTCCATTTTTTAAAATACAAAAAAATCATTATACAAAAATTAGAGTTTGTGGGTTTTTTTCTTCTTTCTCTCCTTGAGCATGAATTAAAAAAAAAAAAAAAATCTAGCAAATGGACTTGAATTTAAGTAGTTTTAAATCATGCAATTGAGGCAATGGGAAATTCTGCATGTATCTCCCTATTGTCTGCTAGTGCCAAGCAGGGGGCATCTCTTGCAAGTAAAATTGCATTTCTGTCTTAATACCACCGTTAGCGTGAAATGTGGTGAATTGGTATTTGTCTCACCTTAATTCTAAGCTGACTCTAGTTCACTAAATCTCTGAAATGCTAAGGTAATGCCAGAACCTTTTCTTTGAAGGAGCCCAGCCATAGTGGTCTACTGAAGTTTTAAATAATTCTCATTAACATCTGCACAACTTGTTACATTGCATGAGATGTTTCTTCCCAGCTTATTGGCCTATGAAATTAATTGGTTTTTGGAATTTTCTGGAGATGAGCTTATCAGTATTTGGCATAAAGGATGGAGGTGTCCTGCAGACTCTTGGAAGAGCTTGCCTCTCACCTCTCCGTGTCAGCAGAATGTCCCCACTGGTCATGCAATGAAGTGACAACCTGAAGTTGAAGTTGACAACAGAAGTGGGTTTGTTTCCAAGTGGACTGCAATGGTTCATGTTGAAAAAAGGACAGCTTGAGACTCTGGGCTGGTGTACACAGTATCTGGTATTACCTGTTTTCCCACTCTGAATCTAGCCTTCGTTATTTAAATGATTAGGTTTTATTGGTTGGAAAACTTGGTTTTCTTCTCATCAGGTTGGGCTTCAAAGTACAGAAAACTCCTTCAGGTCCTCTGGGAAGACTCATGATCTGGATGAGGTTATCAGAAGCTAGTAGCATGGTCCATCGCATGTCTCACTCTGCTATCATACACATAATATGATCTTCCTCGGGGAAGCAAACCCGAAATCTTCATTGGCTCCATCACTGTCCTTCATGGGCAGTAGCGAGTCAGTGAGCGATGCCAGCTGGTGCTGCCTGAACGATGTTTGAAAACCAGAAAAACTAAGTCCATGGTTCAGGACGTAAGAGCTCTCAAATCTTTCCATGGTCATCTGCTGGTGTAGCTCTGCTCATTCTACTTCTGTCAACAGCATTAGGGTTTGGGCACACAACCAGGGAAGGGTAAGACGAGAGTTGAAATGGGTGTTTCATACCAATTTTTTATATTTTTAATAGTTTTCCACCTCTTCTTGTGACTGGGTAATGGTAATGACTGGTAGGTAGAATTGCCAAGGGACACAAAATTTTATCATGTAATGTTGCAATCTTTGTTTTTAAACTTGTGCTAATGATTAAGTATTAGATAATACTTAATGAAGTTGCACTAATGCTTAGTATTGCATCACTTCAGGTTAATGCAACATAAGTCTTTAAAAATCCTTGCTTATTCCCGACTGCTGGATAAAGAATAAAGGGGATTGGGATCTTTTCAGTCATCCCTCCCTGTTGCTCACCACTGCTTTTGGGTGCCTTTTATCCACCCCAAACATGTATGACAGCTGCTGCTTTTACCAGCAGAAGCACTGGGAAGCAATCCCATGGTTCCTGGTAACTTTGATGTTCTAATTTCTCCCCCATTTCTGTATTAATACGTGCATCTCAAATTCTTTGCATCTTGTTTGAAACTTTTCATTGTGATCTAGACAAAGTACTTGGATTATTAGTTAGACGTTTAGTTCGAGAATTATTGTTTGTGGTGGTTTTGTAACTTGAGATAATCGTAATGAAGTTTGAGACTACTCCTAACTGAAACAAGGTGAATATTTTTTATAAGTATATATTGCTAATATGCTAATAAAATTTTATGTACCAGTTTGTTCTGACATACTTAGTGTAACTCTGAGTTTGACAGATTTGTTTTTTCTCTATTCCTAAGGACTTTGATTCTAATGTAACCCACAGTTTGACTGCTTCCCTTCTCTCTAACCACCTTATGCAGAAATGGCATCTAAAAAAAAAGAAAGGAATATAAGTGAAATTGCAACAAGTTCTTTTCAGAGCATCTTATTATAACATAGAAGGTGTCAGTTCTCTAGGAGGAGGATATGTGATTGTTTTAGAGAGAATGAACACGTAAATCTGCATGAAACTTACTCTTTTGCGTTACCGCAACTGGTATTTTTTTTTTTTTAAGGATTTCTGGAGTGTCTACAACAACATTCCTCCTGTGACAAATTTGCCTCTGAGAAGTAGTTACCATTTAATGCGGGGAGAAAGACGGCCGCTTTGGTACGTATGTTATCATTAGACACTTCTGGGAATGGGCAGTGCAAAAACCTGAAGTGGTGAAAGGAGGCAGGCGTGGGACAGGAGCGTCTCGTTTCTGTTGCCTGCAAACACTTGAACTTAAAAGACCTACAAAAGAAGTATCCTAAGGATCTTGTTAAGCTTAAAAGTGACTTGTACTAAAGAGTCTTTATTGAAAACACAGACTGTAATTTAATTGTTCATCTCTGAACGTAAATGTAAGAAAGAAATTAAATTATGAAATGTAAGTTAAGAAATTAAAATAGTACTCTGCATTTCAGTTCAAGAATACACAGAATATGTTACTTCTATTTGTATTATTTTTAACTTGCAAATTTTTTTCCTTCCACTGAAATTAGTGTCATAATGATGCAAACGACCGATGGTCCTTAAATGTTCTTCACCTGTGCAAATTATGCTTCATACGCATATAAGTCCACATATACCTCGGATTAAAACTAATTTAAAGCATCATGAAGTGATTCACTGCAGCAAATTCCTACTTGATTGTAGGATAGTAATGGAATAAAGTATAAATAATTGATGTTTTCCTTTCAGAAACTGAGTTTTGCATGCCGCCTTCATAATACAGTTCTGTCACATCGCAATTAGAGAGCCTAAGAACTTTCTGAAGAGTTTTGATCTTTTTGGCATTGTTTGCATGGATTGTGATTGTATTAGAGTTCTTTAACTTGATCGTAGTATGTCTAACTAGGTGATGACTTACTACAGGAGATTTGTGTCTTAATCTATGGAAGAAGGAAACAATTTTCTCAAGTGAAATGCATCTGAAGGTCTACATTACTTTTCTAAAAATACTGTGACTGGTCAGGATAGCTAAGCTGGGTTTGAAAAAATGTTGGTGTCTGTATAAATCAACTCAGCCATCATGTGCAGGTCTTGATATCTTTGTAAGGAAGAATGAGGATATTTTGGGGTTTGTTTTTTTATATTTTTTAGTTTTGATTTGGTAAGTGACTATTAGGGGTGTGAAATGCAAAGACCTCTTCTAAAAATGATACATCTATTTTAAGATTGTCAAAGTAATTTTGAATTTTAGGAAAGGGATTGCAAGACATTGATCTCATCAGTTACCTGCTATCTCATCAGCAATTACTGCCAAGAAGTTTTTCTCAGATTGTAGTTATGGTATACTGGCTAATTGCAGCATTGTTTTTTAGGAAAAAAACCAAATTCTGAATTAAGAGTTGAGGACTGTAGATTTTTTAAGATGTCCTTCCAAAGTTTTTCCTTTCCTTTGCCCAGTGTATGTCTGGATTTATGGAATTCCGTTGACCCTTGGGAATACTGGGCTTAAATATTTCAAAGATTAAGTTATTCCTTAAACTTTGCTAATACAGAGTTTTAACAGGAAAACTAGAGCCCTAATTTAAAATCTTATACAAAGAATTGTGACAGAATAAGCTTGAAGCTCTCAGGTTTGTACATTGTGCCTTTGTCATTATGAGGCAGTTTCATGGTTTTGTCTGCCTTGACCCAGGGCAGCTTCAGCCTTTATTTTAATAAGGGCAATTAATTTCTAGCTGTCACAAAACTGAAATCAAGTGCTCTCATGTTCTTTTGTTAAACTGGATAAACTTGAGTGTAATAAGCTGCTTCTGTGAAAATATGCCAGAGTTTTTCCAAAATAAAAGGTTACCATAGTAAAACAAAAAATTGCTTTGTGGCTTGTTCCCATATAGTGTGCAGCCACTTCAAAGATGGTCTGTAGTCAGGGAAAACGTAAGTGTTTTCCAACACACAAAACTTAGGAAAGGGATTAGGTGTTGAGAGATACGCCTCATGAACAATGAAAGAATTATCTCTGATGTCAGAAGTCATAGCTTGAGTCATGCTACCTGGAGTTAGTAATTGCATTTTAAATGGTATTTTTCTGGGAAAACGAAACACCAAACATAGGTTTATCTAGATGTGGATATGAAAGTTTATTTTACTGATCTATTTTCCACAACCAGGGAAGAGGAAAGCAATGCCAAAGGAGGTATATGGAAAATGAAGGTCCTTAAAGAATGTACGGTATGTAATATTGACTTTTTACTTCGACATTGTTTAGTAAGGAGGTTTCTTTAAACTCCATCTGATAAAGCTGTTGTAAAGCTTCTTAGTTCTGACATCACCCAACACAACAGCCAAACACTATTGTATCTCTTGCTTTTGATAACACTCGTCAATGTATTATCAAGCAAATGCAAGCTGCAGTATTACACTCCATTTCCACTTGGAAACACAGTCTTTCATAATCGCCGTTGTTCTCAAGACTGTTTGCTTACAGGCATACAAACTAAAATATAAAAATATTTTCCTGGTAATACTGTAGGCTAAATTATAGCCAGAACCTCAGTAATGCTCATCAAAAGTCCATATGCACAGTCCAGTGCAACTTTCACTGAAAAGCTCCTAAACTCTCTGTCAGGCTCAGGAGGACTGTTCCTGCTTGGCACCGCTTGTTTGCACCTACGTGTGGCTGTGAGTAGCGCTGTACTTTCTGTAGCCAAATGCAGACTAAGGCATTGTTTCCACTGACAGCTAATCCCATCCCATGGCTGGCTCTCACTGGAAGGGGGAAGATCTTGCTCATTCTCCCCTGATCCCTCTTGCACTGGCGCTCATCGGACTGTTTTGTGAGCCAGCTTAATGCAGTCTGATGTCAGAAAAAGTCTCCTATTTATTTTATTTTTAATTTGAGTGTATGGCCAGGAGAGGGTTTGTTGGTGGTTTTTTTTTTTTTCATGGATATAGAGGGTAAAGGAGAAAAGAAGAGTGGGATCATCCCCTTTGGCAACAGCGAGTTGTCAGATCACCTTGTGAAACTGTAGTACTGCTCAGTTTTTTTTGTCCCCCCTCTTTTTTTTTTTTTTTTTTTTTTAAATTTTAAAATGTGAAAGACAATCCATTCAGGCATGTTGTTGTTCTAGCCCTGCTGAAACAACTGGGTTTCTCTTTGTGTCCCTAATCAAATGCATGCGAGTAACTTCTGTGAACTGTCATGGTGAGGAGATTTGACCTCCTCACATGTGGTGTTTATGTGTAAGTGTGTTCTGAATCAGGCCTCTAAACACAAAAAGTGAAGCGTCAAAAAAATGTGACAGCCTTGCAGAAGGCATTAAATGCTGAAAGATGGTACTTGGAAATTTCAGCCAAAATTTAATTGATTTTTGCCTGTGGGTTTTTTCCCCGTATGTGAATTGCAGCTTTCCTCCCCTACAGTCCCAAGGGATCACAAAAGACTGACATTTTCTTTTTCTGCTTATAATCCAAGGGGTGAAGATTGTCAGGAGTGAGGAGTGGTTTGGGGAGCCTGCGTTACTGGGTGGTGAATTTAGGGACCTCAGAGGCCTTGTTTTTCAGAGGCTGAATGATAGCCCCTTTTTGAAAAGAAGCTACTTTTTGATCTCTCAAGCTATGTGCCACATGTCGCAGGTCACTTCTGAAAGGTTTAATTGAAGATGAACCTCAGTCATCTTTTAGTGCCTCTGTAAATATCATAAATAATACCTTTATGCCTCTTTCTCATCTTCTGGCTTCATTCTTCATCACTTGTGCACACAGCATCTCCTTGGCTAAGATGAACCATCTTGTACAAACCTAACTCAAAAAGATGATACGCTATAGCAGCTCTTGGTGAGGGTGTGGAGGGAGGAAAATGTATTTTTTTCTCAAGATATCAGTCATTCAAGTGGTATGAAAAACCGACTGACAAAATACTGACACTTACATGTTGTTGCATGTGTACAGTCACACTTGCGTGTGCCAATTTTTAATATGAAAAGGAATACTTTTTAGATCCTCATAAGCCTGATCCTGCAGCAGCTTACTACCGGATGAAGTTTTTCCTCCCCTTGAGACTATTGGGGCAACTCGCAGTAGTGAGCGCTGCTCCTGGTAACGTGAGTGCGCGTGGTCAGTCCCACCACTCTGCTCCGAGCTGTTCCCCTGGCAGGCGGAAGGCACCGTGTCAGGGACTGTCATGCTGGCGCCTTCAGCCTGCCTGGGGAGCATCAGATGGTCCTTCCCACAGCACAGCTTTACATGGTGCATTGGATTACATGGTAATGAGTCACAGAAATCCTTTGTATTCTAGAAGATGGCTTAGGAGTACTCAGAAACCACCATTAAAGCAGTTTATGGGTTTGTCATCTTTTGTGGCTGCTTGCTTTTTGTTTTAACCTGGTGCACTTGATGTCTTGGGTTTTTTTAATAGTACTAAAGCTTAAGCTAACTTCATATAGCAGAAAAGACATTCAGAATCATGAGATTATTTGGGTTGGAAGGGACCTTTAAAGGACATCTAGTACTGCAATGAGCAGGGACATCTTCAACTAGATCAAGTTGTTCAAAGCCCTGGCCAACCTGACCTTGAATGTTTCCAGGGATGGGGCATCTACCACCTCTCTGGGCAACCTGTGCCAGTGTTTCACCACCCTCACTGTAAAAAATTTCTTTCTTATACCTAGTCAGAATCTGCCCTCTTTTAGTTTGAAACCATTACCCCTTGGCCTGTTGAGTAGTATATGAAAAAGTCATTATGATGATACAGACAAATACTCATGTTGATGTGTTCTTTCAATAACTAAATAAAATATTCTGTCCCTGTAAACCCACACCTTGGAGCACTACATTGGTCCAGTCACATTCAAAATTTTGTATGGGCTTTGGCTTAGGTGATAACAAGCATCAAAAGCAAATAGCAGTGTAATTAGTCTAACAGTCAAAGAAAAGTGGCAGATACCTTTTCCTCCTGTTTTAATTCTCTAGTGAGCATCTGAATTTGTAGAAAGACAGACCTATTTCATAGTCAAGGCAAATCAGATGATGTTTAAATATAAATCAATTTAATTTACTGGTAGAGTTTTCAGGTACTTAAAGTGGTTAGTAATTCTTTTCTGTAGAAACAAATGACCTCAAGTGGAGCCTTATGGTCTTTTATCATGGGAAATTCTTGGAAAAAATCTACTTTCATGCTTTACATTAACTAGTGGATTTGGGATGAGTTGTGGACAGATAGAGTGAACGTAACTTATTGTTAAATATTTAAAATATTCATTAGAACAATTCTGTGTAGCAATATGTGTTTTCAAGGTCTAAATTCTTGCTCCAACTGTATTGAGAAAATTAATTATATAACACAGCATGTACTTACAAGAAACGTTCTTCTTTGTCTAGACAACCTCAGAAAGAGAATCCACTCATAACTGAGCTAGCAAACCTAATGTTAATTTTTAAAATAATAATGTAAAAGTAACTGTCTCTCTTTTCCCTCCTTAGGCTGCAGTTTGGAAAGAGCTACTGTTAGCAACTATTGGAGAGCAGTTTGCAGACTGTTGTGCAACAGGTAACTTAAAAATGATTGAGGCTAGCATGACAAATTGTGTTTGAATGCAGAACATGGAAACACTACCAAAAATTGGGGTACAGGGCTGGAAATTATATTTGTACCCACTGTCGTTAAGAGAAGAACATGGTATTCTGACTGTCTTAGCACAGACTCAGGCTCAGCAGCTTGCATCCATGGGAAACCAGTAGGTTTTCTAGTTATTGAATATCTGTTAGCCAGCATTTAAATGATTAATATTAATTCTGTGGTTCCAGGACTCTGGAACCCCAAATGACACTTCTGTTTGTACTATCACTATTGGAAGCAACTAAATTAGATGTTCCTGTTAGCCTTCATGGTCCCTTTTGGTTCTCCTGACAGGGTTAGGAGTTGTCAGTGAAGCACTAGTGAAGATCTGAAGCAGAGGGAAGCTGCGAGGTTTGCCTGTGGTGACATGAAAAGCTCATAGCAGGGCCACAACACAAGCCTGGCTCTCCTGAATCCCAGCTTAGCACTCTACCCAGAGGCAATATTTTCATTATCACTTAAAAGTACTGCTTAGGTCAAAGTGATTTTCAGTGTAATTGAATTTACATAAATATTCTTAAAATACCTTGCTGGTTTACTGGAAAACAGGCATTAAGTCATCCAGAAGCTCACGTGTGATTTTGGTCAGAGGTAATAACTTAACAAAGTCGCTTTCAGAATAAATATCTTCTCTAGGCTTGCAAGGTTGCACATTTCATTTGGAAATGGGCTCCGGGAAGGGACTGTGAATGTTAGCTGGCTTAAGGTAGATCATCGGGTGCTGCTGCTGAGTCATGAAAAGCGAGTTCAAGTCTGTGACCATTTAACTCATTAAGGCTTGGTGACAGAACTGTTTCTTGCGAATCATGAATTTACTGATCCACCAGCATAGAGGGAAGGAGTTCTGGGAGCTGGTCACTCAGCTAACTTTCCAGTTTCAGTGATGCTCCTCCGTCACTTCTTTTGGCCGTATTTACTTCTTTCCTAAGCATGAATATCTGATTAAACTGGCCATTGCACTGATGGTGAATATCCTGTTAGGAGTGTTCCTTCACTGCTCTATAATTCCAGAGAAAAGAATTGAGTTTCTCAGGCTCACAGAGCAGTCCAGCAGAAACTGTTCAAACAGTTCCTTTTAAACCTAGCTAATATGGTAGAGCAGACTTACTGCAGTACATTGCTGCTGGTATATTCACCTTGGTGTCTGTTTTTTCTACAAAAGTTTTGTTGAGTTTTTCTCAAATAGCATATTTCTCTCACTGTCTTCTTTCCCAACTTTCAGAATTGGAAGATACAGAACACAAACCTCAAATCCTTGAGCCGAGGGACATCTCTAATAATGTCATATTTAATTTTGAAACAAGCATTTCAAAATCCTTAATATGCCCAATTAAGCTGGTGTCAAGAAGGGAGTGTTCCTGCCCTTTATACTGATAGAGTGGTCTCAGCATCAGTTTAGGCAAATACATAATATTCTGCTGCCTGTAGAGGTAGCTTTTCCCCGTGGCCATGTGCTCTTGATGCCACCTGTGCATCATCTCACCTCCCTGGCAGTGTTCAGGGCCAGGCTGGGCTGGGCTCTGAGCAACCACATCGAGTGGAAGGTGTCCCTGCCCATGGCAGGGAGGTTGGAACTAGATGCCTTTAAGGTCCCTTCCAACCCAAACCATTCTGTAATTCTGTGATTCTCATTACTGACCCCTTCCTTGGGATGTGCGGTGCAGCTGCACCGTGGGGGTCGCTGCTGGAGGCATCCACTGCGCCCAGCCATGGCACAGCCTTAGGCAGAGCTCTCCGTGAAGCTGTGTCCCAAGAATTTCACACCAAAAAGGGCTTCTTCAGAAAAGCATGGAGTTACCAACACTGGCAGCAGCAGCCTGACTGGGGCTTTTATTTTATTTTATTTTATTTTATTTTATTTTATTTTATTTTATTTTATTTTATTTTATTTTATTTTATTTTATTTTATTTTATTTTATTTTATTTTATTTTATTTTATTTTATTTTATTTTAATGTTGCTGCCTTGACAAAATGTAAAGGAAAAAGAGAGCAAAACCTGGAAAAGCTGGTGTCTGATCTCCTCCAGGTACTGTTCCTGGGGTTTTAGTTGTTTCACCTTCACCCCCTCATTTTTGCTTATAGATATTACTATAGGTAAATTATCTTTAGTCGTTTATATTGCTAACCTTACTGAAGGGAGTCTTGTGAGTCTTTTTTAATCAAGGATAAGAGTGCTAGTAGCAAAGATGAATAATCTTACGGCACTTTATTAAAACCACTATGAGGTAATATTTCCAATAGTTTCTATAAATACAGTGTGTGTTTCTTTCTGGTAGCTATTTTGTCTGGTTTGAAAATTGGTATTCTCCTCACTGGAGGTTGCTCTTTTTCATTTCTTCAGTTTGTTCAGCTTTTGGGCACTCTTTCATAATACATAAGTATCAAATTAGACATGTCTCACTTTTAAAGTATTCTTTAATGGTGCTTCGTCTTCTGTGCAGATGATGAAGTAATAGGGGTTAGCATCAGCGTCCGTGACCGTGAAGATGTTGTGCAAGTCTGGAATGTGAATGCCTCTTCAGCAAGTAAAGCAAAAGTTTTAGAAAAGATCCATAAACTTCTGCCACACACGTCTTTTAAAGTGGCGTTTTATAAATGTAAGTATTTTTTACTGTTAATTTCCACCTTCATTAGAGAAACAAGATTCTGGTAGGGTGTTTCCATGGGAATATCCTGCCCGAGTCATCATTAACCATTTGGAAATGTAGCATCTCTCATTGCATTAAAATTATTACTTCAAAATATACATGCCTTTGTCCCTTCAGTGTAAAAGTTGGCTACCGTTCAAAATATAAGATATTTTTAGTTTAATTGTAGAATATATTTGGTTTCATGTTTAATATGCCTGATTCGTAAAATGAGTGAGACAAATCTCTTGATAACTCTCAAGACTACATGCTGTTCAATTTAAGTATTCATTTAGAGGAACCATTTACACTCAGGATTTTAAGGGATGTCTTTTTCTAGGCTCTATATAAATGTATTATCAGATCAGAGTGTTCCCAAAGATCACTTGTTGGCATGCTGTGTCTTCCTTAACTGCTTTTATACATTGTTGACTTCTCTTTTTTAATCCTTTCCACTCCTTGACGGAGTTTACATGTTCTTTTTGTTCTTTTTTTCCTTCTCTTTTCCTTAGCACACAGAGAGCATCATGCTTTTGAAGGCTGATGGAGAAAACATTAAGAGCAGTCTGTGCCAAGCTCATTCGTTGTTATTTGGTGTTTTGAGGTGGTCTGGGCAAGGAGAAGGATGATTCGAAGCTCTGCAGAAGCACTACGGACTGTGGCCCTTTTGTTTCTAACATTTCAAACTGGGAAGATGAGGAAAAACAGTTGCCTTGACTGCTAAACTTGCATTTCATTACTTTTGGTTGGGTTTTTTAAGTTTTTCATTGTTTCTTTAAAAAGATATTTTGGCCACTTTTTTTCAAAACAAAACTGATTAGTTTTGTTCCTGTTTCATTAAAGTAGCAGGCTTTCATTTCTTCTGTACTGTACTTAGTTGAATGCAGACATGCACAAAGACAGTATGCTGCTTTTCCTGCGCGTAGAGGAACACTGGCTTGGTGAAATGTGTTTTAAATTTTTGTTTTAAAACATTCCTATCATGTTAAGATTTACTCACTGGTTTTGTCCCAAGAGAGAAAGAAATTGCACTGCATTTATTCTAATATTCAGTATAATCTGGTCCTGCACTGACAATGGCACACATACTGTAAAAGTAAATAGCAAAGTGCTCACTAAAGGAGTGACTAAAGAGAACACATTTATACTGGGACTAAGCCTCTGTGGGATGATCTTAACAAGAATTTTAATTGTAATGATTTCAAAAGAGCCCTTGTTCAGACTAGAATGAGACATCTTTCAGTAGGAAACCCTGCAAACTCCACACCCCTCTCATTTAAGAGGGCATGGGGTTTTTTAATGTTTTTATATTGTATGCTTTCTTATTATATTTTTCTGTACATTCATGAAAAAGCGTCATGAATAGGTTCTAATGCGACTGACTGGATCCATCCCTCACACTTCTGTGAGTATGTTAGGCCCGTGGCTGCACCCACAAAGGTCAGTGTCAGAACTGCTGTTGACTTCAATGCAAAGGGAGAGATCCCACTATATGTCGTTTCAAGCCATCGTGACTTCCTAAGTGACCTTTCTAAAAACAAAAGGAAACACAGAAAAGAAACAGATTTTGTGTTGCAGTGTGAATATGAATATAAACACGAATATAAACAGTGTTCATCTGTAAACGTTTGTCTATAATAATTCTATGTGTTGTTGGTTTGCTTTAATATATTGCCAAAGATTGATGTAGTTCCTTTTACAAGAAGAAGCTGCAAGGTAGGGAAGAACGTACACTCCGCTGAGCGTTACTTCATTTTTAAGAGGTTTTTGTTTGGCAACTGTTCAAGTTCCACTGATTTCCATGTCTTTAGTATATTAAGAGGCAGCCATTAAAATCAAATAAATTTAAAAATAAGAATTGCACATTTGAGACTTTTTTTTTTCAACTTTATCTGTATTTATGGATTTAAACTGTGCAGTTAATGAGCGTTATTAATTAAACAAACTTTCTAAAATCCAGATGTCTTGCTTCTGTAATTACTTTCTGAGATTGAATGTACCAGTCCTGCTTTTTCAAATCTGTGTTTTTTTCAGTAAAATTTAGAAGTTTCAATAGAAACTGTTTTGTTCAGAGTTTTAAAATATTTTAATTTTTTTTTTGTTGTTATTAAATCAGAAAGGAGGCCGGAAGTTTATTAGTAGTATCTGTTGTATGTATGCAGTACTTCTTGTATGTATTCAATACTTGAAGTGTATTTAAGTTGCAGTTAGATTGAGAATTCAAAATAAAAAGCATAGAGATTATTACCAGTTTAATTATATGATGTTTATATATTTTAAAAATATATGTATCTACATTGCAGTGACAGTATAAGAAACACTCCAGCTAGCCTTGCTTAGATTAATTTTTACCACTGTATCTTTTCCAAGATACATCCAATGCTCAAGGATTACTTTCTATGATATTACTCCATTTGGATTACCTCTAAATTGTCTGAGATCTGTTAAAAAATACATATATTTAACTAAAAGCAGTGTTGAAACTCAGTGTAGTTTCTCTTGTAGGTACATCGTCACCCATCAGCTCCTGTGTGGAGACATCCAACCTCCTTGAGAAATAAGAGAATGTAGGATGGTGCTTCCCCTGCAAGGTGAAATGAACTCGCTGCTGTGGCCACCACTTTTATCTCCAGTGAGTGGGGTTCCCCTGTCTCTGGGGAATGGGTAGAGGGGGGCCTTGGGACACCAGCTACCCCTGAAGTGCTGTCTGATGTTTGTAGGTGTGATGTACGGGAATAGCCTCCAGGCCTGTGTGATAGTCAGAAAGTGACTTTGGAAAGTGAGGGGTAGAAACCTTGAAGAAAAATATTTTCAACAGCTTGATAGGCAAGATTTTTCACTTGAAATACTTGTCTGTCTTTGGAGGAAATGTGAGTGGAACACTAATGAAGAATTAATCACATACCTCACCTTCTCCTTGCTTTTACTTTTGGAAACAAGCCAGAGCCTCTTACCTCTCCCCCAGGTTTATTTTGAGCACAGACTTTGACTTCAGCAGAGTTGGATCTGCGGGCAGAAAAGGCCGATCTGGTGATGTCACTGAAACTTGATAATTTAAGATAATACTTAATTCATCCTATTGAAGGAGATTATTTTTATGTAATTTCCTCATATGTCGCTAATATTAAAGACCTCTCTGCCTGAGCATTGGACAGAGGTCAAGGGTAGCTGCTCACTGACTACCAACGTCCACATTATGAACTGCTGTCAGTTTTTCATTGTTCTAAATCCCTAATCTATAAAATCAGGGATTTTTTTTTTTCTGTATGGCTTAATTCCATTGACAATTGTTGATGGATATTTTCTGATTAAAGTTCAACACATCGTATGCCACAGTCCAAAATTGGGCTTGAATCATAGTGGCTAATGCAAGTTTACAGGAACACGACAAATTGCGTATTGGAATTTTGTAAATTTAAAGGCTTTGTAGAACTTTTGAACTGTCCTTTCATCCCTACTGATCTCCATAGCAGATGTATTTATACCAAATGATGTTAAACAGTTAATTTTTGTAGTCTTTTAAATATTTACTATTTTCACCTGGAGATCTGCTTTATTGAACTTGATTAAATGAACCCCCCACTACTTCAGAATCATCTAAATTGTTTAAATGGATATCAGAGTCTATAACTTCATATCAAAATTGATTTCTGCTGGCATTTCAACATAAAATTAAAACATTTAACTTCCATGATGACAGATAGGAAAAAAAAAACAAACCCTCCAGATTACTGCACTGGCTGAATTAAAAAAATCTGCTTCCCTCTTGTGGGGGTAATGAACCCTGGCTGATTCCTGCTCACACTGGGATAGTGCCCTTGGGCTTTATCTGGTGTCTGCTGGCCAGGCAGGTCACACTAAAGCCTTTCACGTAGCTGGAGCACTTATCTCCTTTACCCAGGCTGTTTTTATGAATTTTGTAAAAACTTCATATCCTTGATATGCCTGTCCTGCCATCCAGGTCTGCTGGCTGCAGAGTTACTGTTGTATGGGGATTATCCTCTGTCCTGGGAAACCAGGTGAGATGAGAGGTGGAGAGAGAGCTCTGTCTGGCTTTAAAAACGTTCATAGCATCTTGTAAAAGGTGGTCACAGCATCTTCCTGGGGAAAGCTGAGATGTAACGTGATGTTAAGTGGAAAATGGTGGCGAGATGGCTGAAGGAGAGAGGATGGCCTCTTATGTAGGTCCAAGCACAGGCGGGAGGGATGCAGCTCGGCGGGAGCACCAGCCCTGGGTGAAGAGGAGATGCTGGCCATGCTGTGGCTGAAGCTGACGGGGCAAATGGAGCCAGGAGGGACAGCTGGGAAATGGTAAGAGGAATTAATAGATTTTTACTTCCGAGTATTACATTTCTTGTGCTGGTTTGCACCTTCCCAGGGCTGAAGTGGCTGCTGGCTGCAGGTGAGGGCTGAGCTCTGATTGTTCCTCCCAACTTCGGGGACATCTCTCATATCTCTCTGTGGCTCCCCAGGCTGCGACACAACTGCTGCTGGAGGGATTAGTTTGGAATTTCACTTAACAGAGATGAAGGGCTGTCTTCTGGGGCTGGCTAATTAACAGGATTCTACTCTGGTAATTAAATAGCAGTTTGTAGAACACAACTTAGTTGATGAAATCTTTGGAAAGCATAACAATTAGCAGGCAAGGAATGGCAGCTTTGCCTCAAAAACCTATCCCCAACCAGCTGCTGGTATGGTTTTAACATTTCATTCTCCAGCAAAGATGGTATTGACTCTTAATTTTCTGGTTTTGGTGGTGTCATTGGACAGCTTGTTCTCTCTCTTCTGTTGCAGTAGCTGCGTCCCCTAGGGCTTCATCTCAGCTGCATGGGCTTGAGATGTCCTGCTTCACTTGTTGCTTTTTCAGAATATTCTCTGGTGCTGCCTCCTTAAAAGCAAACACTGGAGGACAGGAGTGTCGCCACCCTGAGAATAAATCCTTTGCCCTCCTGCTGCAGCGGTGCTGGGGCTGCTGGCTCAGCCGTGTGTGCCTTTGCGCAACCCGGTTGTGCCCCCTCTGCAGGGAGGAGGGTTTCCACCACAGTTACTCCACACACAGCACCACCTCCCTCCCCTCTGAGCTACATGTGTTGGAGAGATCGCATGAAGCACGTGGGGTTTCTCCACTTGCACCGTTTGCATGCACTGAGATGAGATGCAGCTGCATATTAAGACCTCTCTGCTGGGTTCTCTCACTTCATAATGTTGTGGTTTTTGGGGTTTTTTACCTGCCTTTGCAAAATGGTTCTCGAAATGAGAGACATACCAGAATGAATTATTTTGTTCTATGATTTATTCGTACTGTGGAGATGCTTGTGTTGTTGTGGAGAATAGTGTTGAAAAAGAGCATGGCAGGAGCAGGAGCAAGTAGACTCAAATGTGCTTTTACGTGGTGTGATGTGCGTTAGCAATGCTGCTTGGTTGCTGCAGAGGAGCGTGTTAAAGCATCTTCGATTTAAAGGCATTTCATGCTACGGGCTTTGCTCAGTCTTCTGTGTGCTTTTATTTTAGTGTGGCAGGTTCAGGACAGCTTGGCACACTCTCAGTAATAATTAACTAAATACTTCAGAGTGAGGAACACAAAAGCTCCGTGGGTCAGAAAGGGCTCAGTCAATCCTCTGCCTTTGCCAGTTGATGGGAGTACAAAAGAAACCACTTTTTATGTTCTTCCTGTGGCAGGATTGACCAAAGGGGATGTAGCTTAAGAGTTGTCTTAAAACACAAACATGACTGTGACAGAGGAAAATTACTGATCCTGAGCAGCTTATATAAACCCTCTCATCTGCACCCGTACACGGAAGGGAGGTGCTTTCAACTGGAAACTGTTCATGTCTTCATCTCTTTACTTCTCCCTCTCTCCTAATGACTCTCTTAGGACAACGACAATGAGGAAATTAGATTAGACAAACAGTGGGAGATCCCACGGCTTGCTATAAAATCCACCTCCAATTTTCACTACACTTTGACAGCTCTCAATTTCCTAATTTGACAAGTTAATGAAGTCTGGATTATTTTCAGAGCTGTAAGTACCGTGCTGCTGGGGAAGGGGGGGCTACGCTCTGCACTGGGGCCACCCACTCCAGCACCTTCTTCCCACCCAGGCTGCAAAATCCTCATCCCTGGGAGGGAGTCAGCTTGTGCTGGAGCCTGGGGCCAGAAGATGGCATTTGCAGTTGCTGTGTTAGTGCAGGGCTCTGCAAGATGCTCCCATGCCAGGAGACTAGTGGACTTGCGTTGGGTGCATGTGTCATCTCCAAGAAGCTGTGCTGCAGCGTTTGACCTCCCGGTGTTTGGCTTGGCTGGCCGGTACGTTGTTTCTTTCCATTCTCTCCCGAGGCTGCGTGCAGGCAGCGGAATGGGCTGGCTGAGCTGCCTAAGCTAAATACAGCAGGAAACATCCCACTCGCACCTCCCAGGCATAGCATCCCCCGGGCGGGCAGGTGGGCATCCCTGCACCCACGTGGGCCCGTGTCCAGCCTGGTGCTCTGCTCCGAGACGTGGAGTGCGAGAAAGGGCTTTAAATGTGGGGGGGAAACTATTGGGCAGAATGTCAGTGGGAAGTGCAGAGTTCTGGAGTGGTCCTGGGGTTTCTTCGCACAGTGGTGAGGCCAGGAATAGAGTTTCAGGTCTTAGTGCTCCCTCTCCAAACTGCCCATTGCAAGCCCAGTGCCCATGATCATCTCTGTCTCGTGGACAAACTGGAGGGGAAGGGTTTCCGTCAGTGCACTGAGGCTCCATAAATAAGCAAATCAGAACAAGCTGGAAGCAAAGAGCAAGTAGGTATCATTCATCATGCAAGGGGGCCTGGAGTATGTTCCAGCTTGTAATGCGTAAGGGAGAGCAGTGTTATGAATAGGCATGGGATGAATCCCCTTCTTTTTGGATCATGATTCTGTGTAATAAACATGCAAGACAATTTGTATAAAATAGTGAGGATTCTTTCCTAGAGAAG